CGCGGAAGCCCTGAGACCACTGAAGAAAGTTAAGCTGGTAAGCTGAATGCCGTGTGAAAGACTCATTGTGGAGCTTCACTAGGAAAGTAAGGCTGGGCATTTGTGTGTGCGACAGCCTTTCTCAATGCTGTGCTCGGTTCTATCTACACAAGTACTAGCTGGTGGAAGAATTGGCGAGAAAGTATCAGGTCTTCAAACAGCTCCTGGAAACTAGAGAACGTCAGAAGCCTCTTGCACTCCAAGGTTTGCGTCCATCAGCTTTGTTCAGCACGCTCCTGAAAGTGCTGATCTTACCATTCTCTCAGCTGAAATGAAAGGGACCCTTCTTGCAGATTCCCACTGGCACCATCTTTTACGATGCATCAACACCTCTTCGCCTGCTCTTCCGCTTAGGGGGGAGCGCCACGCTCATGGTCTTGCAGTCCCTGTCCTTCTGGCTAATCATGGCCATCCACATCTTCATCTTGGTGTTCTATTATAAAGTAGGCCACGGCCATACACGGACGGATGCTACAACGTCAGACTCGGCGTGGCCTTTCCTGAGATCAGGAACATACAGCGGCTTTCTTGGAATCATGACATCCTTCTGCTTAGTCTTCCAGACCACTCAGAGCTACACTCGGTAAGTTGCACACCGGCAAAGCCATGCTCAGCTGAAACCAGTGCCTGTGAAGCTGACAGACTCGCAGCAATCCAGTTCCGGAAGGAGATTCGACTTCTCACTTTGGCTTCTTCAAATGCGTTGCAACGCGAATCGTGAGAATCTTATGGCCGCACAATCCTTGTTAGACATGGGTTCCTTTTGCTTTGCATATGCATAGTGTTATAGGTGCTAGCTGGAAGGAAATCTCATTGTATTCTCGTATCATCTGTCAAAGCGAGACTGATTCCGGAAAGCTTGTGACATTCACACAGAGATCGAAGGGGTAGATTGGTCGATGCAGTTTGAATTTCTGGGCCCTTGTTATTTGAGACTGACATTGTGCTCTTTCTCCATGAAGGTTCTTCGAGCAGTACAACGCTTGCTGCCGCGTCATAAGCAACTCATATGCCTTTGCTACTGCCCTCCGGAGCTTGTTTGACGGGAACAGATTTGAGGGGGCACTAGAGGTTCTTCAGGAGTTGCACCGGCAGTCCATGGCTATGCTTTACTTGGGGTTCGGTTGGCTTCCGCATTACAAGACGAACAACATCCACATGTGGATCCTGGAGCGCTTGGAATCTCTTGAGTTGGTCACTGCTGCGGAGCAAGAGCGAATCCTGGGCCTGTCAGGGGATGCTTTGCCTTTCTTTGAGGTCAGAAACTCTGCAATCTTGAGCTCAGAAACCACTCATGCGGCTTGCAAGCAGTGAAACTTTTCGCTTGGGTGTCTGAACACTCTTGCTCAGGGCTCTGATGCTTTGAATCCTGAGCGCAGTATGTGGAAGCTTCAACCTCAGAGGCAACATTGATGGACCCCGGTTGAGTGATGAACATCAGTTTATTTTGAAACGCGACTTTGGAAAAAATGAGTGTCGTGTTCTTCAGCATGGTTGAACGTCCTTTGTGAGCGCGAAGGCTCTACTTTGTTAGCATCCATCGTACTCCAGACAGATCGAGAATGGACTGGCAGCTAGTCAATACGACCGTCTTGATCGCCCTTCTCCTGTGCTCTGACATTTGATTCTGCCACGCTTTTGACGATGGACTTGAAACCAACAACACGGACTTGCGTGATTCTCTCTCTCTTCTCTTTTGGGCGAGCGCCCACGGATGAATTCCGAGAAGAAGTGGGCTGTGCAGAAAATCAGACGGTTTTTTTAATCAGCGCTCCAATCTCCTTCGGGGAGCGAAGAGCCTCTCTCCAAAGCTTCCAGTGCTCAACAGCATCGGGATGCCAGGTTTCGAACCTCAAACTTGAATTGAGTGGTCTACTTCTCGCATCTTCATATGCAGACTACTTCTCCCATCTCCATATGCAGATGTACTACGCTATAACTCACACCTTATATCGCGAGCTCGAGTTGGGACACATCAGCGAGCGAACGCTGGATAGGGTGAACACGTACTTTGAAGCAGTGACAGTGGGGCTGGTATCTCTTTACGAGTACTCTAACATGCCGGTCAGTCTTCCACGCAATTTAGCCGACTATAATTTGCATAAGTCGCCAGACCTCAACATCTGCTCCGCTCATCATAGAGTAGATCAATCAGTCTTCTTGCTTGACTTTCTCACCAGCGGGCCTTCATATGGTCGTACGACGGTATCTGATCTCACGCGCCATTGATCGGTAGACCTCGTCTCTTGTTGTGTTTACATTGCTGTTGCATCAGCTCGCTTAGCCGGTAGACCTCGTCTCTTGTTGTGTTTACATTGCTGTTGCATCAGCTCGCTTAGCCACGGGAGTCAGCCGACGTCAGCCTGTTTCCTTGGAACTTTGATTTCTGGAAACCAAGATTGAAAATATCTGCAGGTTCCTTTTGCCGTCTACACTCTGCTCAACGTCATGGCCCTCGGGTACTTGGTCGTGTTGGCTTACACCCAGGTATGTCCAAGGATCGTGGCCATCTATGGATCATTAGGAGCAAGCTGACGGTCTCGCTCAAAACAAAAAGCCAGAATAGTCTGGAGCTTGTCAGTATTGCAGAAAGACTGGGCAAGCCGTCACTGATTCTTGCCAGGTTGTAGGTCGAGTTCGCTCCAATATTGCGGCATGACCAGCAAGGGGCCCGGGCTTCGTGAAAAGAGATTTGCGTATACAAATAGGACCAGGCTACGAAGGATCAAAGTGCAGAGAACGTCTTAGTACCTTGGACTGCTTTCAAGTTTCGTCTACGACAAAAGGGTGTTACCGGAACTATACAGTGGCGATATTGACAACCTGCATCAGTAACCTGAAAAACGACCGGCGTTCTCTTAGTGAGCACTCGAAGCGGAGACCCGCAGACTGTCTGGAACAGAAAAGTCCCTTTCAGATTAACAAAATCACGACAACAGAAGCTGGTCGTACTAACCGAAGCATTCTTCTAGCTTGTGCCAAGAACGTACATGTCTCTCTCCCGCCAGTCCCCGTGATGTAGGCGCCAAAGCTGTGAGTGGAATTTGCGTCACCAAACGCGTTACAGCCGACATCATCAGTTGTCACTCCGATCCTGATATATAATCTTTGAACCGCTGCGCCTTTCTTGCAGATTTTGCCGAGCTACTTCTACAGCATCATTCCGGTGTTCCTAACGGTCGTCTGCACCCTGGGGCTTCGGGAGGTCTCTAACGCTTTAGCGGATCCTTTTGGCTGCGACGATACCGACATTCCTGTCTTGGATTACGTGGCTGCTGTGCACAAGACTTGTGACGAAATAGCTGCCTGGACTGTTGCGCAGCCGAAGGCAGGTGTCAAAGAGGAGGTGTGACCCACCTTAAGAAGTATCTAAATGGCAACAAAGTGACGGAATTCTGAACGAAGAGACTCAGGATCAAAGAGTTGGTGGCTATAATATGGGGCCTCGGAAAGGTCACTTCACAGGCTCGCGGAAGCCTTGCTTTGCTTCATGTCACCCTACGGACGTGGCCCCGCCCGGCCTCCGCTCAGAAGAGATCGATGCAAGAGAAAAGCGCTTCCGAGCACGTCCCCCAGCGTTCATCGGCAAAAGGTCAGGCTGCCAAGGGTTTTCAAAGCATGGTTTGAGCTTGTTGACCCAATACGTACATATTTTGGACGGTCCAGTTTACTGAGTCAGTGCCCGTAACCCTATTCACAGGTCGACTAACATTTGCAGAACTTAAAGTTAAGGTGACCTTTGACTTATGTCAGTCAGTGTATCCCTGTAAAAGATTCCGGCCGAACTTCCGGGTAATACTAGGCCCGTAGCGTGAGTTGATCGAAATTTGTCCAACTATCAATTCCGCCAAGCTCTCAGATTGTGATTGTCTTTGCCGGCTATCATGCCGTTGGAAGCACATTAGGTTCCAGCCCCAGCCTTTAGTACTTCAGTGGATATAAGCCTGTAAACAAAATAATTGGTACTTCGAACCTCGATTGCACACTACCAATATATACTGCATTGGTAAAGGAATCCACATCCTAGTGCGACAGCTGTCACTCATTATGCACGGGCCCGGCCGGCCGTCATGAACAGTGATGGGGCATCTGCAAGCGCATACTAGTACTTGCGGGGTACTTAGCAACCTTACGTACTGCAAATCTATCTATCCTTAAAATCCGTTGAGCTAGCTGAACTTAGTTATTTCAAGACGCCGTCTGCACGGGCCCGGCCCCGGTATGTTCTGCCAGTGCATGGCATGCGCTTGAAACGTCCGGTGCAAATTGGGCAACACGGGCACGCAGCATGCGTATGAAGTATTCGCCACCACGTCAGAACTCAATCATGCACAATCAGTGCAAGAATTTTCAATAATGCGCCATGCATACGGTACTCACGTCCATGAGGCGACCGCCATATCGGCGGGTCACGTGCCATCCAATCCTTTTTAGTATCATAGTGTATTTGCATGGTCGTTTTCAAACCCCGGTCCATTTACGGTTCATCGTGCACTGCAATGATCTTGAGCGCTCAGGCTCGCCTTTCGAAGCTGATCTGCTCTTTCAATTAACAGCGACAAAGCACTTTCATTCATGTCGCACCACACCTTCCGAAATACATGGAAGGTCCTCACCCGAGTATCGGTCTTATTTTCCTTACGTCAGGTTCCACAATTTGAAATCAACAATCAGCCTTCAAAACAAGCTTCTATTTCAAAGACGAGACCATCCTGCGCTTGAGCGAGTGGCTGAGTCACCAATTGCTGCAAACTGGAACCAACAGAGCGCCAACTGAAGAAGCCTAGCTGTTTGCTTTTGCAGTAATCTTCCAAACTTCCCACCGAAGGAACTGTTGCCGGGCTGAGATGACCGGCAAGCTCTTTAAAGCCAGGGTATTTGGTGTCTTGCCACTCCGTGACCACATCCTGGTCGCGAAGAACGACCCTGCACTTTTGCGTGATCTTGGTTGCTTTCGTGAGATAGCTGACGGATTTCAGGCCGTCATTCCCTAGCGGTTGCACTTGATGCCAGATGCCATCGCTGTTCACTTTCACTTCCCACCAACTGTCTCTCGCGGCCGCGTACGTAAAACACAGTGCGTCCTTCCAATCCAAAGTTTTCATAACGGGAACGAATGTGCATCTGACTCTGAAGCCACTTGAGTCTGGTTCGTTCCGCACAACAACCCCGGGACACAAGACCTCCAGACCGCGGACCAACTTGCCCATATTCCAGTACCGCGCCTGGTCTAGCAGCCGCGTGTCGCTTTGCGCCGGAACCGTTCCGGTCGTGAGGTGCTCCAGAACAGCGGCCCACCTGTCAGGGTGACACGTGATGATGGCGCGCCCGTTCTCATCGCGCGGGTATTCCCACTCCCCGCAATACATGGTGTACAGCAGAGAGTCCGGATCGGACGCCAGGACCGTCCGAGAGACCGAGCCCGTCTGTCCGTTGTACGCGAGCACAAAGTGGAAGCGCTCGCGCGCGTCGTCGCGCCGCGCGCCCGCGTCCCGCGCGGCCGCCAAAGCCGCCTGAAGTGTCCCGATCTCCGCGTCTTTCTGCGCTACGTCTTCCGTCCTCACGCGCTGCTCCTCTCTAAGCTCCGTGCGGAGCTGCGCGAGCTGCGCGACAACTCTCCCGCAGTGCGCGCGGCGCCCCTCCGCGGCCGCCAACTCCACGCTGAGCCGCGCGCGCGTAGCCGCCAGGTTTGTTGTTAGCCGCTCCTTCTCCCGCTCTAGTTTTTCAACCAGCTCTCGAAGAGCCGTCTTTTCTTTCTCTTCTCCCGCTCTTTCTGCTTCCGAATCACAGGCGCATGACCGTGCGTTTGCCAGGGTGATTGGTTCCGACGGAGCCTGGATTGACAAAGGGGGCGGAATAGGCGCGGCGGAATCGCAGGGAGGATCGGAAGAGGCCGGAGGAAGGGTGCGCGAGCAGTCCGTCTTCTTCCGCAAAAACCAACTCATCTTTGCGGAGATAGAGGAAGCCACCTGAAGGATTGTAGCAAACCACTTCAGCAAGTTATTTGATGATTACTCTGTTCCGCATCAAGATAGACTAGATTTGTCTTGAAGAAGATCCATTTTGAGTGGGGCGCTCCTAAGGTATGAAGCTGCAGTACGATCAGCACGATTCAAAAGCGTGCGGTTTTCTACAGGAGGGGCAAGTGATTGTTGAGTTCTGAAGCGCACCAGACCGGCACAAGGTCGCATAATAAGCGACTTGCAGGACAGTTTCTTGTTGGGTAGATTGTTCAGAGAAGTTCGTCCTTCTGGACTGCCAAGCTGACAAAAATACATTCATTGCTGTTTTCCACGCTTCTTCTGGCGTCTCCAGACTCGACCGTTGATACCGGGAGTACTTTGTCCGCAAATACCTTGCTGATCGGAAAAAACTGTGAAGTCCTTGCGGAAACACAACTCTGCTCTTCCAAGACAGCGCATTTTCTCGTCTCGCTAATGTGTACTTGGTGCTCACTAACAGTGTAGCCAAACTCCATAAGATCAGACCTGACGTCGCTTGAATGGTCTGAACAGGCCATGTAATCTTCATTGAATACAGAGGCGAAAGACAGCCAGTATCGACTAGAACGGCATTTTCTCGCAGTCGAAAGTTCCAAGCCTATCCAAGGACTCGATGCTTGTAAACAGCCACCAAAAGGGGCCACTTTAAACGCGAGCTTCAATTCACGATTGAACAGAAGCAACATTGTGTACAACCAAACCTTCTGATGAAAATGGTGAAGGAGTCAGCAACAATCTGTTCAGAAACAGCAAGATCAATAATGAAGCAGGCTCGGAGTGGTTGGCAGATCAGCCTGAGGGTTCTCCAGACCAGCATCTGCAGAATTTGTCAACGAAAAATTACTGCATGCATGCTCTTCGTCATTGAAACGCATGCTAAGCAAGCAGATACTTGCCACATACCCCAGCCGCCCCGAGGTCCCCCTGACAATGTTTGAACAAAACTCATACTTAATACAGACTTTACACTGATCGATGTAGAGCCCAGCAAGGGCAGTAACAAGTGGTGCAATACAGCGGAGAGGAAAAGAAGTAGATTCTCAAGCTCTGCTTTCCAGCAACTCCCTTCAAAAAAACAGTGCAGCGTTTTCTCCGGATCGACCGGACGGCAGCTCTCAAGCATCCTCGACTCTACTTTCCAAAAGAGAGCAATCAGACGAGGAAATTACTTAATAGTGAGTCACTATCCTGCCAATATTACCGAGCATCACGTTCCGCACGCATACTAGAAGCAGGGACGTCCCTACCCAATCTCTTCTGGTATGACGACCTTGAGTAACGGACGACTGGCACGGAGACTGACGATACCTTACCTGAAAAGGTCTTTCACCACCGATTCCCTTCCTCACGTGCTGCTGCTTCTGCGCTTCCAACTTTTAAGGGTCTTACAGGCGCCTTCAAGGCTGAAAGGTTCTGTTGTAAACGGCCGCTGCCACTGTGACCTCCTTACAGAATTCCGCTATGCACTCTGGCCAGGGCCCGCTCTGTGAGCGCAACATTGATGTTTGAACTTAAGGACATGGAAGCCGCTATGCCGCGCGGCCGCAAACACACTGATCGGGGTTTGCGAGGGTTTGAGCCCGTACGCGCGCGCGCTCGACCGGGCCAAATGAGGGTAGTTGGACGTCCGCGCGCTTTCGTCTGCCAACCCGGCCGCCCGCGGCCGCCCTTCGGCCGGCTCCGCTTCGACGGGTTGATGAAAGCGTGGCCCAGGTAGCACGAATTGACGGCGTCTGCGTGCTGGATTTGAGAACCCAGACCGGCTAAGATGAGGCTCAATGTGTGCCATCCCCTATTCACACGCCTTCCAAACCTACTGAGAAACTTCTCCTAGTTCGGCGCAGACTCGAGCAGATCCCGGTTGTCAAAGCTCAGTGCGTTGTGCTGCCTCATGGTCGAACCTGACTTGAAGTACTGCAGTACATGTGAGAGCACGATGTAGCGCCTTCCCGCGAAAAACGGAGAAATGGAAAGGCACTGCATGCAGGAGTTTGTCGAAACAGACCGCGGGGGGCCGCGAAATGCCGCGTTCTACATTAAGGCAAAATTCGGGTCCCAATAATATATTGAAGTTGTGGGCAATCGGACGCTCCGATCAGGTTCGAATCAGCCGCAGCTTTCAATTCCCTTACGTCATGATTAAGCACACGTCCAGTCCTCTTGATCGCCGCTACCGGGGAGTCGAGCGCGAAAACTGATCCGTTATACCCCCCTGGTTAGTAGCACAAACCACCTATCCATTGGTGATGCATTGATTCTACCTAACGTCCGGACCGTCTTACAGTACAAAGCCAGATGCGAACTCTCAAAACGGGTACTACCAGCTTGCAAGGGTACTCGACCGGCTCCGTCCGCATAGCCTAGGAAGCGATGGAAATGTCATGATCAACAAAGAGAACCCCGCTGGTCTTCTGCAATGACGTGCCCATGAATCTCTTTACAGTAAAGCTCCGGTAAACCCGGCAGGCCCGCTTCGCTGCCGGCCACGCCGCTAACCTTTCAGTGATATATTTCGAACCGCAGGCACAACAAGGAGCCGTCAAACCATCCTCAAAGCCGATGTTATCGACGACCAGGGACCGTCTTCGATCAGAAGCAGAGTCACCTATTGAATATTCTCGTCCGCGAATCCTGCTCCGATTCAATTTTCTGTCATTAATTCTGAGCCTCGCATCCACGGATCTTTCCTATCTTCGCTTGGCTATCTTAGTGTTCACAGATCCAGCAAATCGTAAGCAGCGTAAGCGGACCGCAGTTTGTGAGGGAAACTTTTCTCATCGATCGATGGAGGTCGAACTAGCCCAGCATGGCTCTCGCGAAGAGCAACTGGCCGCAGAAGCTGCCGATCTGGGCTAGGCTTTTCGATGGCGCTGCTCCGACACAGTTTTCATTATCGATTTGCGGATCCCTGCGGACCATAACTCTTGCAACACGGCTTCTTTAAGGTGTAGGCTACATTGACTGGCTCAGACTCCAAAGCTATTAGACGGTAAAAAGAGAGTGACCCAAAAGACTTCTGAGCAGAAAATACAAAGATCAAGTTTCATGGGCGCTGCATAGATTCCTCAAGTGACCTCGTGCGCGTTTGGTCATGCCTTGCTTCGAGTTGCGGAGATGGCGGGTGTTGCACCATCGCAAGTAAAGAGCCGCGCACACTAGGGACAGGTGGCAAACGCCTAGAAACCCTGGCGCATTTCTCATGTGAGTGCGGGCCGCACGTTGTTTGATATTAACTGGAGAAATTTGAGAATAGACAAATTTCGTGGCTACTACTAGTTGTGCCAAGTAAAGATATGTTGGAGATTATTGCCGGTAGACTCTGTGTGCATATGATGCAAGCTTTATGTTCAACGATTCCCCGCACCATATTTAAGTGCTGCTCAGCGTCAAACAGAAGATGAAGAATTACGTAAACGTACAATCGCAACCTGGCCTAGTACGTAGGCCGTGACGCGAAGACGAACGATACACTAGTGGTCGTATAATTGGCTGGCTGACCTCTTGTGCGTGCTCGTGGAAGTCTCAAGTCCAACAAGCAATGCGTACAGACGTATCTGAATGATCAAGGAAGATCCAGTGTGTTGAAATCGACGCACTGATATATTAATTGAAGGCCCGTCCGATCTTGAGCCTGATCCACAATTGGGCCGGGTCACTCCGAATCCTGCCAGTATGTATGCTGCAAGTCTCGATCCGAATGACTGAAGGCGAGTCTGAGTAGTTCTGTATCATGCGGTCAATATCGTGGCCGGTCACGTCAATATATCCGGCCGCAACTCACAAATTTCCGGCAGTCTTCGATGCCTGAGCTTCTGTGCTCTATTGCAATTGAAGTCAGCATTGCCGCCCGCGTACGGTGTCGCGGCATCTTCAACACGATATCATGCACTTGTCAGCGCGGCTGCAAGCCTGCTGAGGTGTCGCAAGTTCAATGCATGCATTCAGTGACTTGAGAGGTCTTCTCATTGCCAAGTTTGAGTTGCAGTACGTACGGCTAGCTAGGCACAGCAAGCCCGCCGGTACGTCAGATCATTTCCGTTATATGTGGCCAACGTACGGTAGGTAACCTTGGTCGATGATTCATTAATTAGCTAGAGCTACTAACTATCGTGGAAACCAACTTTCTGGGGTCGGCCGGACCCGATGCAAATGTTACTGGTGACCGTACAGATTTTACTGGTCTATCGCCGCATTTAGTAGTTTGCCGGAATATATCTACTATGTTTGCTGGTCGACTAGTTGGGAAGTCTGTCGGCTTCATGTATCTTTCCCTCTGTGCCAAACGATTGCATGTTCCTATCAACGCTAACTGAGAAGCAATCGTAGCACGTGCTCTAAGCGAATTTACCAGCCGTAAGTTGACTCAAGCTGACGTCAGCAATTGGGTCCTTAGAAGCCACCTTTAACCTGCTGTGTCTTGTGGCGCCGATATGGTCGGACCGCTTATAGATGCGGACCAAGCCCTTATGTTCGTTTGGTGTTGGCGACCAATGAGTCTTCATTTTAAACTATATCTGAAAATCAAACATCTCTCCAAGATCGGTCACCTTGAGTGCCCCCAAAACATTTGGCCGGCCTCGGATCTTTTCAATCCTTACTATGTCTATACCAGCACGCTTCTATGTACGTCCATTGACTCCACTCGCCTACGATAACTCCAAAAAAGTTAACGTTTACTTTGACTTAAGCCCGTTACGACCACACTTCATCAAACTTCCTTGCCGTCCAGAACTCCATGTTGCATCTCCGCAGAAAACGAATCAACCGGCATGGTCGGAACCAAGGGCTTGCCCTTGGAATTGCCTGTTTTGCGGAATGTTTCCGCTAGTGTCGAAGTCAGTATCGGCTGCAATTTCGGCCTCCAGCAGTATCGGCTGATAACAGCCAAAGCGAGAGAGAAGAGAATTGTGGCTCCCAATACGATCCACAGACCGGAGACCTGCCCAACAAGAAACAAGATTTGTTAGCGTCTCGTGGGCTCCAATGCTTGTGTTCGTTCCATCTCAACCAAGTCGAAAATGCATCATATGCTCTTCAATTGGTAGGATGGCTTGTCGCTTCCCGAACTGCACATCTCGCCAATCTTGTAGAGCGGGTTATCGGCGGGAAGGGATCGCAATGAAACTTTCCCGACAAATACTGATGAGAACCTCACCACAGCACATTGCCGCACCTGAAGTTACTACAGATTGGGCACCTCTGTGTTCGATGTACAGCTCGATGATAATCATCGTCACAAAATCAATCCTGAATATCAATGCGTGATCTTAGCCAGCACAGGCACACTCTGCCTTTTAACCGAGGTTGGTAAAGCTCTGGCGGTTTCGAGACAAACGGGGTAAGGGCGCCTTAAACCATACACTTGCTTTAAATGAGAGTTTTTGTAGGTCCATCCATCAATCGTCTGCGCATCTACAGTGGCTGCATATTCCAGAAGATCAATGCATGAAAAGGCTGCCTGACCAGCCGCGCTGAGGGCTGTCTCTCACGGACCAGCTTCATCGAAGCAAAACGGACTAATCTGCAAACCTGGAATGTACGGCAAGGTAGGACAGACCGCTCGCAATCCATGGCACTCGCGTCGGAAGAACACAATAAAAGCCTTCCAAAGCGCTGCACATACATTCATCTCTTCGAACGTCACTCGAGTGATCTGACGTCGGAAGAAGAAGCGTTCGCTTAAAACAAGCGAACGCTTCTAAAACGCTTCGCATGAGCCTCACCTCTCTGAACGTCACTTTGGTGATCTGGCTCGCCTCTTGCTCATTGCAGCTTGCGGGCGGCGGTGCAATGAACGTATCGTGAAGGTGCTTCAGGTCGGTACTTTCTTCCAGGTCCAACACGTGGCCGTTGAATTGGCTGATGAGCGCGTCGCTCGCGTTTTGCCACCACGCCAACGCGCGGCTCTCCTCCGTGAGAAAGCCTCCGACCTGCGTGGAAAGCAGACCAGGCCCGTCTGGTTACCCGTTCCCTCAAACAAGTCAGCCTACTTGTTGCGGCATCGATCGCCGCATGTGGACCGTGTGCTTTCTCTCGAGCGCGATCGGCTTTCCGCTTTCTCACAAACATGCGTCTCGGTTGATCCTTCTCACAAAGGAATCAGTCACAGGCCGCATTTCAGTTGTGCCGCCTTGTTGTGTGTCGTAAGCAGCAGAGAAGCCAGCGCTTTTAGTCCTTCTTGCTTGAAAGCGACCAGAAAACCAAATGGCGAAGAGCATGCACTCCGGATTTGTCTTTTCGACGCAAGAAATTTCGCGGCCATCTTTACCTTGACGTAATTGCAGCTGGTAGCAGTGATGTAGTCAACGAAACCGAAATCCCAAACCACGCCCTGGATCACGCCGGTCTTCAGGTCTTCCAAAAACTGGGTCTCCGAAACCCTGAAGAGAAGGTGCACGGGGTGGGAATGCTCAGCTTCGATGATTAATACTGGGGTTTTCGTCAAACACTGTTGTCGGTTGGCACCTTAAAAAAGTGGAGGTTACCAGGCCCAACTTGATTTCGGTGCAAGGGTTAACAATCCGGTGAGCTTCTCCACAGTTGAAACCATACCAAGAACTTCGGTTCGTACCGAACAGATTCGTGCATCAAAGATTTGCAAGATTTGTTTGCGACCCCACAATCCAAAACCTTTCGACGCAGACCGGTTCAATGAAAAGTCTATCAGAAATGAGAGCGGTATGAGAATTCCGACAACCAAGAAACCCGAACATTTGAGACACATTTTGCTGCCGGTCCCTTTACATTCTGACTGTACGGTTATCTAATTAATTTCCCAAATGTTCCAAGGCCTTTTGGGTCTCTAAAGCGCACAGTTTGAGACCAGCAGTAGAAGACCACTTAACAAAATGTTAACCAAATTCGATTTTAGCAGACTCTCCCTATATGAAGTCCTAAGACTTAAGAGTGCTTTCAAATGCCAACGGTACCAACCAGGGCAGGTTGGCATCAGCAAAATGCTTGCGGCTGGAAAACAAGCCCAAAAGATTTGTGCAGGTAATCTTTGGCATCAGCAAAGTGCATGCTCGCGGCGGAAAATAAGCCCAAATGATTTGTGCAGATAATCGATTTCTCGCAGATCCAAGGAGATCCCCCGAAGCGACTCACAGTCCTCCATCATAGATCTTGGTTGGAAACCATCCATTGCGGTGCATGGTTCCTAGGGTCCCGACATAAGCACCCCAGCTTTGACCCCGCAAGTCGTCAATTGCTGCACAGAAGCGGTGGGGTGCGTTTTGTGTCACCTAGAGGTTCTGGAGCATTCGTTGATATCAAAAACGGGGACAGGAAAACGGCGCAGCACGGAACGGATAGACCCCGCTTCGATCGATGATCTGACGGCTGGCAACCCTAGCGTGCATGATCGAAGCGCTTGTTGGTTGATTACGATAAAGGACTGAGAGGAGTAGGTGCCCGATCTGCAATAGCCAGAGAAAGCATTCAGACCGACCTCGGCTGTTTCGGCCTCGGTATTTTCCGAAATTGCGGTGGTCTGGCAAAGATAAATTCCGTCCAGTCTCTGGGCGAATGGTCGCGACTTGAGCCCATCAACCCTCTGCAAAGGGGTCAATAACGGACAGTCAACGCTGAAACAAGTTTGCTCTTTTGCAAAGCTTTACTTGACCTTGAATCCACAACTTGATGCTGGTCCTGAGCGAGAACGCCCACGTTGAATCGCTGCGTCCTCCGAAGACATTCGTGCCAGTCTCAACAAGTTTCGGACCAGAATTTTGGCGTGACCGAAACCCAGATGACTCTCAACTGGCACTAGGCGAAGCGGGCCTTGGAACCTGAGGCTGTGATTGAGCTTTTTCTGCTCTCATACAAAAAGGTCCGTCTATCAACCAGGCTGACTGATAGACCCCAGGCTCGTTATAAGTAATTAAATATGCTTTGACCTCGTTACGACTCTGGTTACGGGCCGTGCCTAGTTCAATGGACATATAACCACTCTTATTCAGCCCAGAGGCAATCATGATACGTAAGTGCCAAAACTTGGGCCGTGTCAGAATCGATAGTTCGCGACTCGAGAACCGGGCCCGGCCTCAGTTGACCCCTTTTTGAAACCGTAATCAACCCGAAGTGATCTCAAACCTGGGCTCGCTTGCTAATCTGAACTGGTGTCCGGTTTTCAGGCGACTCACACTGGACTGCCACGTCGACATTGGAGGCCGTGAGGATCGCAGCGGCGTTACCGGTGTACATAGCAACAATCAGGAGGATGACGAAGCACCAGACGAAAGTGATGATGCGGGACGGTATGGAAACGACCGACATCGGCTCCGACGCGTTCACGACCTGTGCGCCGGCTGCAAAAGAAACACAGAAAGGTTACGTTCTTGATTACCAGACTTTGGGTAAAGTATGTGACCAGCTTTCAACAACCTTTGGCGGGTGGAAGGGCAGTCAAGGTGGAGGCTCACGGGGCGTCGTTAACGGCGGGGTCCCTTTGCGGAAAACAGGACGTTCGAGTTGCGTGGTCGCGAGTTCTTTTAGCAGGACGGGAAGTTGAGAAAAGAACAATCAGCTGTTCAATCGTTTGCAGTTAAAGTTCGCTGCCGAGGCAGATGGGATCTTAAACAGCACAGCGTTTTAGGCAGTTCCGGTCTCGGACATTTTGAGCTCTTTTGGTTTTTAACTATAAAACGCGGCCTGACACTACTCTGGACGGGTCAAATAATCATTAAAAGATTTCAGGCTAGCTTGGGCACTACTATGCACCACCTGAAGCGACCGCTGTGAGAGAGTGCATCGAAAGCTTTTCCGGCAGTGAAAAGCAAATGCATTCGGTGTCGCACCCAGGACTTATGGACAAGCAAGAAGACGTCTGGGCCCTCAACGGGATCCGGAAAGGCCAAAGTCCGTTGAAAGGTTCAGATTTGTCTGCGAGTAAAGCGACTGACGACCTTTATGCGACAGTCTGGAAAGGTGATTGAAAGCGACCGAGAAAGTGGCAACCCAAGCGAGTGACCTTGGAGCCCCTCAGGATTCAGACAGATCAAGTGCCATTTCCATTGCTCAAGGGGATACGGATTCGTCCGGATTCAGGCACCTTCAGAAGTGGTTATGCGTTCCACTCCTCAAAAGAAAAGATGCAGAGCGCGAACGAGCAGGATCAAAAGTCGCAACGGGAGGGATTATAAAGGGTGCAAACGAACGAGAAAAGAAACAATTGAGCGAGCAATGCTAAGTACGTGCAACCGAGCGAGGACCAGAGGGTGCAAAGGATCGAAAATAAGACGGTGCAAACGAGCGAACATGAAATCGAGGATAAAAATGTGCAAGCAGAAGCAGAACGCGAAAGGGACCACCCAAAGCTCCGGCAAAATGATTGGCACCTTGTCGCCAACGGCCAGCACAACCACAAAGCGACTCCGCACCTCACCATGCCGCATGGTTGATCTCTGGTTGAGCCGTCGTCTCTACCAATTCAACTCAAGCCTTCAAAAAGAATTCTATCAGAAGATGGTGACGAGCAGAAGTTTTGTGCGAATCCGGCCCGAGATGGTAGAGTTATAAGACTCGTGCACCTAATCTCGGACGAGAGTAATTCAGGAAGGGTGCATCCGATATCCAATTTCGGACACGGTATTCCCAGCCAATCACGGTGTTGGTTAGTCGATTACGGATTTTGCCGTCCAAACTTGAATCGTCCGGATCCAGTGGCACCAGTCCTAGCGGCTAACAGAAAATGGATGTTCGATTGAGATTTGAAGAGTTTGTAGAATAAAGATTTGCTCTTTAGCGGGCTCTGGTTTTATTTCAGCGCTGACATGACGCTTCAAATCGGGTTATCGACGTGCCGCCCTCCAAGATCAATCACACCTTCATGCATAGACATAAACGTAAGCTTGAGGGGCCAACGCATATAAGCGATCCTCACCTGACCATACCATATGACCGTAGCCAACGTGGCCCGCCTCGTATTCCTCTCCTTCGGTCCGGGCCGGGGTCATTATCTTCTCCACCAGCTGAACGAAAACGCCCACACAGAAAGCTGCAAAAGGGCACCCGGCAAGGGGATAAGCTATGGGGTCGATGCAGAGCCTGTGCCAACCGGCGGGCTCTCGGTTCATTACCTGTTTTCTAAGGCAGTTAAAATCCTGGAGGAAAGAAGCGCAGCGAGGAACTGCACGCTAACTCTGACGTATACTGAGCATCTGAGATTATGGTCGAAACGAAGACCTTCAAGTAAAAAGTCGGCTCGCCATGATCACTTTCGTCTTGCATCCGAGAGAAACAGTCGTCTCCTGCCATCTTGAAAGCCGAACGGAAAGCGTGAACAGACTTTTGTCTGAGTGTGCTTCCATCCACCTGCCAATTTGACAGGCGTTATCAGCACTTGGAAGCTCGTGGCAAATCCTGAGGAGCGGACTTTCTAACCGATCCTTATAAGACTGTGATAGAATTGCGGAGCTAGTGCTAGCAGCTCTTCAACAGAGAGGAGCAACGAGTTCAAAGCCTACTGACGTGGGCTTAGTAGCTAGGCAGCGAGGACAGAGGCCACTCGACACTTTCCAACTCAATGGTACCGCTCTGAAGAAGTGTCTCTCGCTAATGCTTGATTGCAAAGGTGCATTTCTACACCGACCTTACACTCTAGCTTGTCATTAGCTGCCCGGAGAAAAGGAAGAGTTAAGAAAAGTAACCATCCGATAAACCCACCTGCCACGAACAAGAAGACCCAGACCTCCCAGCTGAACGGAGCAAGGAACAGCCATTGGTTCGTTTTCTTGCTGGTGGCGTAAACCATCACCCCCTGGCCAGTATGGTAGTCGGGATATCCAAACTTGATGCCTGATTTCTGGTCCTGGCTTGAGACCTGTAATGTCGATGAGAAAGGAAGCAAATTTTGTGACTCCCAAATCATCTTCCTCAATCTCGTGTGAGAGTTTGGAAAGAGCAGACTAGGATTTGGAAAGCTCAACAGTATGCGCCGTCCTCTGACGGGGTTAGTTCTGCAGAAATCTAGCGCTTTACTGTGGGAAGCAAGCGAGTCTCTGTCGGACTAGCTTCTTGCAGAAAGCTCTCGGCGTCGACACCAACGCCTGTGTGATTGGGTCTGCGCTTCCATGTCTCAAACTCTAAATTTCTTCATTTTAACATCAACAAGCTCTGGCGATAAAAGCTCCTCCATTTTAACGCTGAAAACCTAACCCACAAGTCAACTGCTCCGACTCGGGTTTGACAGAAAAGCGGAGTCATATGCCTTGTTATAATCCTTCAGAGTCCAGACTAATAGAGTGTGTGTGCTCAGAGTGTGTGTGCTCATCTTACCACCGAAGGTCAACTCTTGAGCTTCTAATGTCCGCTGGAACACTTAAGAAAAGTTGGAGGCATCAGAAGAACACCGGTCCGAGAGTTATGGAACATAGAAGACCGATTTCACAAACACCATGTATGACAATCCAATCAGACATCAGACCAATGGCACTCTTGTCACCAAAGCATACAACAACTCCCACTCGAAACCCTCGTCTCAAGGTACTGTAAGTGCGTCTTGAGAACAGGAATGAATCTCAAGCGGGGCTCTTGATGACATCGGAAGCTTGTTAAAGAACCATTAGGAAAACAAGGGACCTGATTATAGAGAGCTGGCCATAAAAGGACTGATGGGCGAGTTAGAAAGAAGAAAGGAGAGCTCAATTGAGAGGGAGTCATACCAAAAGTGCGGAGCTAGCTACGTCACACCGGCCGGTGGGATCGACCAAGTCTGTTATGACGTCAATAAAGTCGAGGCACACAAAGGTGTAGTCTTGCCCGTACGTCCACAACATCCGCGCAGCCAGCCGATGGAAAAGTTCGGAGCCATAGCCTGAACAGAATGACAATAACTTATGAGCACAGGCAAAACTCAGACCTGACTTGATCTGGTTATGCATGAATCGGGTGCCCTTCTAGCGGAGCAGAGTGCTGGTGGGACACCGATTAATGAGGAGCGCAACCTTCCTATGCAAGCTTTGGAATCCGGGTGAGGAGGCATGAGGGAGCCTGGAAAGTGAGCCCCACAACAGTGAATGAGATTGCCTGCGAAACACCCGGCGTCATTAGTCTCATATTGGTGCCACATTCTGGCGAACTGTGAGCTAGACAAGCAGTTGATTTGTCGAAAGCGCGCAAGGACCACCAGAGCTATGAAAGCGCTCCAAAAGTGTCCCTCTACTGCAAGAACCCAAAGCTGGAATGTCCGGATCTCTTCAAGGCCAGAAGTTACATTCTCCAATATTCTGGCGCTTGTGGTGGAGCGCCAGATGTTGAATAGCTTGGGGCAATATCCACCTTGCAGGTCGGATACGCAGCTGCCAGCGAGCCAGGGAAATCATGTCGTAGAGTACGATGGCAATCAAAGATGCTGGTCAGTCAAAGGGCAACGCCTATTTATCCTTATTGGTTTTGCGAGGGGGTAAACGTGTCGAAGAGGCAACCTTCCAACTAGTGATTACTACCAGAGAAAATCCAGAAATGTTTTGCCTCAGGAGAATCGAGTAGACCTTAAAGTACCATTTTTGTCGACCACATGTCTCTTATGCTGCTTTTTTGGTGTAGGTGGATGGCCCGCCCTCTTTATTGCTTTCAAAAAAGAGCGCTTCCACCAGGCTGTTAAATACATACAGCGTCACAGGACCTACAATAGATTTAAGGATGCAGGCTCCTACTTGTTGGCTTTGCATTGCATTGCAGGCCTTTCCAAAAGGCCTGGCTTTGGCTCCACAAACATGCAGCACTCTTGTGGAGATCTCTGATCAAGTATATTCAAGATGATTTTGAATCCTTATAGCCCATGCACTTCCCACATTGAGTTGCTACCTCCTTACCTGCCCTTGAGCAACCCCATCGCATGACTGAATGTGAGCAAACAGAACGTCCCAGCAAGCTGCGCTGGCCCTTCAGCGTCAGCCATCTAAAAATGCATCGATCAGTCAGCAGTTTCAACAACCAAAAGCCAACTACAAACTCTTCTTGAAGGAAAAGAAGTCGTTTCCGTCCAGCTGTGATCAACCTCAGAAATTGCCAAATGTTTCCATTTATTATTTGTCACTTATTAGGGCCTAATGCATTCTTGTATCATCTCAGATGGTAAAAAAAAGAGACCGCTCATATTCCACTGCTCAGATTCCACAGAAGAATCAGACTAACACGAGTCATCAGCTCACCTGAGAAATTTGTTGGAGTCGTGTCCCCCACCACACACGTTTGGTATGGGAGAAAGTTTGTCATACACACGGTGTATATGTCGGTCGCGCTCAATTTTCCTTGGGGCAGCCTCCCCGTCACCCCACTTAACCAACAGAGGACCAGAAAGGGAAACGCTACACCAAGCCTCTGAGCCATTGTGTTTGCGACTCTCAGAGAAACGATTGCCTTCCTTGCTCAGATAATGTGCTAGCTGTTGATTCAAAGATTGTTCGAGGGACCTGCTCTGAGTCAACCTATCCTATCACGTTGTGTTCTCCTGACAGCGGCAGCGAAGACCCTCAAAGAGCATGATGATAAGAGGAACTATGCTGGGGGAACGTGGTTGGGTTTTTGAGCTGAAGGTCTGACTGCTAAGAGGCGCAAACAGCTGCGCTGCTTGCAGAATTTAGCATCTTCTGTAGAGAAAGCGAAGCAGGGAGCCATGACTTCCTAGCTGACTTCAGGCCTGATTGACCACGTCACAGTGCGTCCTTGGCGCGTCCTTGGGCAGCTGCAACTTCAAAAGCTTTGCAGCAAATTGAAGTCGAATTCCGGTACGGCTAAGGTAGGCTTCACTGCCGCTTCAGGCTCACCGCCGTACTGGCCCGTACATCAAGAATCCGGCGTGCACACAGTACGGTAGTAAGTATGGTCCCTGCCAGTACACAGCACCGGTATATCGCATATTGGTAACTTTGGATTGGAGATAGGTACACAGGCCCCGGGGGCCTCAACCAAAACCCTAAATTCTAATCCAAAACATGATCGTAATACGGGCTCAGCACCCGCGGACAACCTAGCCAAGAAACCAACCCACCCGTCCCCCCGGTTGTCACGTTTAAACAATCGCGCTCCTTCAAAGTCCGAGGATTTACCGGAGTAGTTTTCGCGGATGACTAGGATACAGGAGATACGGTAGGTACCATTATCCATACCGTACCGTAGTCCAAGGTAATGAATCCGAATAAATTTATATATATCTGCCTTTGGAAAGCCAGAAATTCAGATTTCCCGTTCGGAAAGGTAAAATTCGGAAAGGTAAAATAATTTCGAAATGGTCCTCGTAAGGCAGAAAACTGCCAAAATAGACCTCAAATTGCTTCTTCAAGTGTGAACATAGGGCACTCGGATTCTGGTCGGAATTTGCATGAATAATTCCGCATTCCTGGTCGGATCGTTGTAAAATATTACTGGGAAAATCCGTTCGGAATCATCACGTTGGACTACGGTAGTTTTCCGTAAACATGTACAGTATTCCGAGTCGTGCATGGGGCGCGCGCCGACGGTGGGCAAGGGGCGGCCCGGCCCGGGCGCGGAGGCCCGCGCCCGGGGGGCCGCAGGCGGGGGCCCAAGATCGAGGCGCCGGGAGCCAATGTGAGCTTGCCCCATGCCTTGCGCAGTACGGGCAGTGTCCATCGACAGATCGACATGCTGATCCATGGGAGGCAGCTACAAGTACAACTTTGGCAACAGGGGGTGCCGGCTGCACCAATCTCCAGGCCCTCTCCAGGGCCAGATCAAAGTATAAATGTAGTATTCATGTCGAGGCCACATTGCCCCGGCGGTACGGTGATTTTGATAGCATGAGGACGGATACTAGAATTTCCGCAGACAGCCCACGATCATCCTGTTGTGCGGCAACTAAAGCATTGAAAGGAAGAGACTCGGAGAGGTGCCGGCGCGCCCGCGCGAACTTCCCCACGCGCGCGGCCTAGCTACGCGTATAACGGACATCAGTAAGCAGTGGAATCTTTGCAGGTGCTCTGCAGGTCACGTCCAAAGACGTTTGGTTCGAAACCCGTTCGAAAGGAAGACCTCTGGGAAACTAGCGTCATATGAGGCAACTCAAAGTCAGCTTTGACACGTCGTGGCTGTGAAGAAACTTTTCCTTTAACTTCTCGGACGCGCGATTCTCGATCTGCCGCAAGGACCCCGCAATGACGTCCGATTTGAGAAAAGCGCGCGTTCGCTCATGCCGGGGCTTGAGAACGCCCTGTAGCAAAACTGCGCCTCTTTTTCTTCCTCAAAGACTGCCTGCGTACGTCGTCTTCAATGGACAGGCCCAGAGGGCAAGAACTTTGTTAAAGCAGCTACCTTAAGCCGCCTACAGATCGGGCCTCACCCCTTATATGCATCAATGAACCATTGGAGCTTTCTGAGTACAAGTTGTTAAAGTTGAATGCGCACTGATAAGCGAGAGCTGACTTGAAGTATAAACATAGATTGATGCATCACGTGCGGGCAGCCCACGAGAATGTGCACACAGCAGAGCAGACAGTGCAACGATTCACAGCCTTGCAACTCCGAGGCCGGGGACGGAATACAGATTTCAGGATAATAAAGTGGCGTCATGGTTCCGGAGTCGGGGCGAAAGAGTCCAGGCCAGTGGAGCTCCGTGCCTGTGCACGGAGCTCCAGGCATCTCATCTATTCACAGCAGCCAGCAGTTAAACAACATAATAGAAGACATGTAATCGACATGACGGATGCATTAGCCGAAGATTTCGACACGTAAACCACTAGTGTACGTACAAAGAATCTACAAATTGCTTTTTATACAAGCGAGGGCAAATTATGATACGGTCTCGATTGGCAGTTGCTCATGCGAGGAAACGCTTTGTTGGATGCCATGAAGCAGACTCTGAAACGAGACGGTTCGTTACAGCAAGATCGGCTCTTCAGCCGGTATCGAATTCGGATCGAGTTTGCAGAATAATAAATGGGCCCGAATCTGAGTTGTGAGAGTTGTGTTGAACTATACGCGCCTGATGGGGCGCGTATTCGTGGATCTGAAATGCTTTTGTTTATCAGCGCTTGCCTTGACAAGCAATGGGTTGACTGAAAAAGTCGACCCTTTAAGAACGTATAAGGCACAGTGCGATCAAGTACATTAGAAGGTACTGTGCACATGACGCCAAGTTCCAATGGTGGCCCCATAACGTCAAAATCAATTGTATCTTTCGCTTGAATCCTCGGAATCCGCACGTTGGCTTCATCACAACATTGACCATCTTTGAGATGTGTGAAGCCCATGCGGGCCGGCAATCAGTGCCGTATGCCCGATTTATTCCAGTAAATCTCGGAGGCATCCAAACGACTCTACGCAGCGCGAAGAATTCATAGGCAGGCCCCGCAAAGATTGAAGGGCTTGACAAGTCGCGCCAGCTCAAAATCAGAGGCACGACTAATTGTATCCCTTTTTATACTTGTGGTGACCTGCCGGTATGACTCGAACCAAGTTCGCGTGAGAAGAATTATTTGCTGAGGAACAGCTTGGTCGTTGACGGCCGAGAAGCTCGAGGCCGACAACAGCCAGACTACTATATCCTAGAAGGGATGCAAAGCGGCCGTGCTGCTTGAAGGATGTAACGACAGATGGACCGCTATCGGATTACTTTTGCAGGTTAGCTCTCAGATCTTACATGTTTGAAGTGTTTGCTGAGTACCAATCTTATTTGTCCTTTTGCGCAACCAGCTGCTCCCACCTGTGATCGAAGTGGGCATGCTGAAAGACCACGTCACTTTTCCTAGAAATCCAAGACAAACATGCGTTTCAACTATCAACTGACACCCGAAAGCTTTCTGAATTATTAGGGATTCATTCTTAGCATAAGGGATTCCACAATAGTGTACAACATGAAGCCCCACCAAAGTGGGATTGTCGACGAGCAAAAGCTTTTTTCCGAAGTGTGGCATTTTTCTGAATCGAAACGTGGCGTCGTACTCCAGCAGAGTCTAAGATGCGACTGGGACGTTTTTCTCAGCCGTACTCCAGATTCATTCACGGCCACAGCAGGGGGAGGATTCGAACCGGAACAAGGCGGTTCCGGCCGGCCGCCGGAAGGGCGCAATGAACAAAATTGCAATCAAGGCGCGCGGCATGAGATAACAATGTGCTAGCTCCACTGCAAATGTTGACTGCAAGAGATTGCGCACCGACACGACAAGAGAAGTACAACCAGTCCGAGCCGTCTGATCAATGGGCAACAGACGAGCAAAGTTCTGCAAGATGTCGCAAATGCAATCTCGGCGGCTCAATCTATCATTACGAACTTCCAGCAGTGTGCTTGGCGCGCAATAAGCCCAGAGAAACAGCACATAGAGGTCATCATAGCCGAGGCATATTGACAGCATGCACGAGAACAGGATCAGAACAGCTAGCGAGAGGGGTGGGAGGATCTCAGGCTGCAGCTTCGGCAGAAGAAGGTCCTGTGGGCTTCTCGCGCCTCCTTTTCTCGCCTCCTTCTCGTGGCGCGCTTCTTCGGCCGAATTCAATAAGGAATTTTATACATAGCATGCGTCACGAATGTATCCAGTACTGTACCAATCATTCGCAGACGTGTCTTTCGGTATCCGATGGCGCTGGCGTCATACTCCTATCTCTCAAACAAGCTATGGGATGCAACACTCCCACGCGCAGTCCAGTAATCATTACCAAGCCGTCGAACTGCTGTGGATATCTGTACGCAGAAACAAAACAACTCTTAGTCGCAGCGCCGATAAGCTACCTGGCGTGGGACAGTGGAGCTATCAGGGCGTTGCCTGTGTTGTAAGTGCTAGCTTTCAGAACAAGGGAAAACCAATAGCGCACCACAGCCAGTTCATGACCCCGAGTCCATTGTTAGGTAGGAGCTCAGCAAGGATCAATGGATCTACTTACACGTGGCTGAAGTCGATTGGAAGACTCCTCAGCTTAGAAGTACTGGATCGGAGTAGTGATGGAGAAGCGGACTGGCCTGACTCCTAGTGATCAAAGCTGATAGGCTCTGACCTCTTGCCTACGACCATCAAGACCCATCTGTGATCGTTCGTGCTTAAGCGCCAAACGCACACGGCAGCTCAGCTACAGGCGCTTTCAATCAACTTGAACCCGCAATCTCGCAACCTAACTGCGGCGCCGCATCTCTGAGACTTGGAAGACGATTGTTTTACACTGAATCAGATTCCGATTAAGCAGCTGGCATCGCGAAGAAAGCGGGCGATGCCTGTCCTGGCGCGTCCATCGCCACGGGCCCATGCAACGTGTCACCATTCATCATTGCCAATGCCATTAAATCTCCTCACTGATGATGCGTCACAATATCCACTACCGTTTCAGATTAAGCAGATTCGCTGACAGTTTTCGAGTCCGTCAATGGAATGGAGCAACCTATCATCTTATTGGATCTGATACGTAATTTTGGAAGAGGCTGACGTCAGAAAGGTGGCGTGACGCGTCATACTTGAAACGAAAGAAACGCTACGTACTGAGACAATATCTTTCTCAGATGGGCTCCCGGTTCATTCGCGGCCACATCAACGTACTAGTTGGGAAGAGCCTAATTGAGCGGGGAATTCGAATAGACTTTGCGTCCACCTTACTCGAAGGCCCCGGATCAACCAAACTTGTGATCACGTCAAATATGAGGTATAGGGTTGCAACACTTTTTAGCAGGCACACCCGGTTGGAGGACAAAAGATCCGTCTCAAGGGTCAGCAAATATTTCAACTATGTGTAAGATGCGAACTTATCT